AAAAGCAGCTCTTACCGCGTATACCAGTAACAGCTCAACTCAGGCTCGGGTAAACTGGTGGTTTAATTATTGATTAATTATTAATTAATTGATTGGTTGATTAATTAACTGATTGATTGGTTGATTGATTAATTGACTGATCGACAGGGCAATTCGATTGAACTAACAGGTACCGTATTTACCCGAAAAGACACTCACCCAAAAGATGGCATCATCTAGCTGAAAACATAGCTCGTGTACATTCACGATAAAGAGAGGGGGTGGAGGGGAGAAGGGGAGAATGGGGGGAGGGGGGGAAGACGAGTAGCTCCTTGCTTGAAGAGCTGATCTATCGAATTGCATTATGTTTATGTTCTCTATCTGCTGAGCTCAAAAGAATGTTGCCGCAATTGCGGTCCGATACTTTCCCTCCTGGCAGTTCTCTTCCTCCCTCGCCTGCAGACCTCCTCTTCAACCAGCAGCAGTTCCCCCTCCTCTCACTAGCAGCTCCTCCCAGCAGCAGCAAGCCAGCATTCACTCAAGTGAATTGCTAGCAACACCAGCCACAAATGATTGCTGGCTGGCTGGTTTTATAGTTGTGGGAGGTAGTGGTAGCAGCCTGAGCTCTCAGCCAGAAATTCAAGCTCAGGCTGGGCCCTTGATCTCTTGGTGAGATCAAGGGCACATACCAGCCCCACACAGCAGAAATGGCCAGGTCCACTTATAAAGAAAAGGACCTGGTCCTTTTACTGCTGTAAAACCAGCAAGGGGCGGCTGTATCCAGCCACAACCCTTGTTGGTCTGCTACTGCTGAGGTTCAATCTCAGCAGTGCACCTTCTCCTAGACCTGGCCAAGTTCAGAGCCAGGCTCTTAGCCGGTTTGCTGCACAAGGTGCAGCGAACCACTTGGGAACGTGGCGTGGACAGTGGCCAGGTTCAAGCAAAATTTAAGAAAGGTGCCCTCTTTCTCTCTTCAACCCTGGCCATATTCGGTGCAAGCCCCCTTGCTAGTTTGCTGCACCAAGTGCAGCAAACCGTTTGGGAACCTGGCCCCGACAGTGGTCAGATACGTTATTTCTTTTATCTTTGTTGCTGCTCTAGCAGCCTCGTCTTGCCTCAGTCCCCCCCCTTCTTCTTTTCTCTTCTTCTTTTCTTTTCTCCCCTGCCCTCCCCTGAAAATGGGGATGGCAGTTGTCATATTGGGAGAGGTAGGGAAAGAACTCGTGAAAATTCACGAGTTCAAATCTTGACAGCCTCAAAGCGGGGTGCAAAAAGTACCCCGACTTTGAAGAATTTTAGAAAAATATTCGCTAGATAAAAAAATCTAAAACAATTCATGCCCATGGCGTACGTGCCTGACTACCTATAGAAAAAAAAAATCAAGGTCAACAAAATTATTTTGCGCCACCAAAAAAATAGTGGCGCAAACTGAAAAATACAGCTTCTCAGAAAAACTCAGATCCCGTTTTTTCGTTTTCTTTTTCTTCTTTTCTTTTCTTTTTTCTTCTTACCCCCCCTAACAATGGGGAGGCAGCTCGCAGGTCGGGAGGAGCAGGTCCTCCTCTTCCCATCCTCCCATTTCTCTTTCTCTCTCACTCTCCACTCAACTCCAACCCCCTCTTGCTTTCCATGTGTGAACTGTGGGCCGCGAGATTTCAAGATCTCCCGCCCACAATCATCTGTCCAAAACGAAGTCGGAGTCTTTGTGCTCCCACACAGTCTCCAAGACGAAGTGGGAGCCTTTGTGCTCCCACACAGTCTGCAAAGACTGTTTTCCCCTTTTTTTTTTTTTTTTTTTTTTCGTTGGCTATGCCAATGGCTATGCCAACGGCCACGTCAGTGGTCACATCGTGTGGCCCCCCCTAACACGATCTGTCGAATTACAGATCCAAGTTCGACCCCATCCAAGACCAAAAAAAGGGAAAATTTTGGTCTTTTCTCGATTTATGTGTGTCATCTTTGTGCAGGGGCCACTTTGATCTGGGCGCGGCAGATCTCAGCCGCGCGATCTTGAGGATCGCGCGGCCGAGATTGGCCGCGCCCAACTACTGCTCCAAAAGGAGCTAGCCTGGTAAGATGTTTGCAGCCAAGCTTGATCCCGGTACCAGATAGGTAAGAGTCCTCTGCGATAACCTACTGGGCTAGCTCCTATCATGATAATGACAAGGAGCAGCTCGCCTATGTGAAGAGCTCGCCCAGTCAGGTTTCCCCCATACCGTGACCTTGCAGGCTTTGCCTGCCCGCTTCTTCCCTATGGATGGCTGCCCATCCACCACTCCGGGCCCGCCCATTGGGTAGGCCTCGGTATAGGCCTGCTGGCCTCACCCTGGCTCGAGATTAACTCGGCGGCCCAAAAAAAAAGGAAAAAAAACTTGCTATTCCTCTCGCACCGTAGCCCTATACCCTGCGCATCCCTCCTTTTTAGCCTACTTANGCCACGTCAGTGGTCACATCGTGTGGCCCCCCCTAACACGATCTGTCGAATTACCGACCCAAGTTCGACCCCATCCGAGACCAAAAAAGAAAAATTTTTGGCCTTTTCTCGATTTATGTGTGTCATCCTTGCGCAGGGGCCACTTTGATCTGGGCGCGGCAGATCCCAGCCGCACGATCTTGAGGATCGCGCGGCCGAGATTGGCCGCGCCCAACTGCCTTGGGCTGCTCCAAAAGGAGCTAGCTCGGTAAGATGCTTGCAGCCAAGCTTGATCCCGGTACCAGATAGGTAAGAGTCCTCTGCGATAACCTACTGGGCGAGCTCCTATCATGATAATGACAGGAGCAACTCACCTATGTGAAGAGCTCGCCCAGTCAGTTTTCCCCCATACCGTGACCTTGCAGGCTTTGCCTGCCCGCTTCTTCCCTATGGATGGCTGCCCATCCACCACTCCGGGCACGCCCATCGGGTAGGCCTCGGTATAGGCCTGTTGGCCTCACCCTGGCTCGAGGTTAACCCGGCGGCCCAGAAAAAAGAAAAAAAACCTTGCTATTCCTCTCGCACCGTAGCCCTATACCCTGCGCATCCCTCCTTTTTAGCCTACTTAGGCCCTGAAACGCGCGACATCTTTTAGGTAGAATAAGTCTAGTCTCACTCTTTCTACGACCGCGCACCCCTGCGGCCATGTCGAGACCCGCGGACGACAGGCCATACCGCCGACTCCCGCTGTCTCGAACAGACGCCGTTGTCGTCACATGTCAACGATGTCCCATTTCAACGACGTCATACATCAACGACGTCAGGCTTTAGGTTTCTCAGTTATAGGGTTGGTCTGAACAACTTTTGGCAACGTCAATCTCAACCAGTTCCTCAATCCCATAAAAAAATCGGACAGCGACTGACCTTGACAAACTCGGGCAGAAACCCTTACAAGGGTTTCTGTCCCGACAACGTAACCCCGCGAGTTTCTCCCATGATGGCGGGAACTCTCCGCGTGAGATTACCTGGGATAACTCTGGTGAACAATCTTAGAAGGATGCGGACAACAGTGATGAGGACGATCCAGTAATTCAGGAAATTGTGCAACAGCGTATCTATTACCCTATGCAACGGGCAAACACAAGATCGCTAAGCCTGACTGATCAGAGTCTACAAAGAACGCAAGCCATGATTATGGGTGAACCCCTCGTGCATATTTCAAGGATGGTCGATTCTTTGGAACCCCCTGAGCGCCTCGAAACTGGGCTCGAAATTAAAATCGCAACGAAACCAATGTCATTGCAGGACATTCGAGATGGAATAACACCGGAAGAACACGTGGCCATCCGAGAATAGGACGCATAGATGATGGCCACGGTATTCTCCTGGCGATCGGATAATTCGTTTATTTTCGCGCCCCCGCCCGAAAACACTAAGCGGGTGAGCACGAAACACATCGATGTACGGATATGGGATGAGTTGTACGAGTTGCACGTGCCCCAATACGTACCGGATGAGATCCATCATATAATCGCAGAAATTCTAAAAGAATACAAAGGAGCGATTAGTCTGACGGACACAGATATTGGACTGTCGTTAGTCATACAGCACGAGATTCAAACTGGAAACCACCCCCCGATCCACTGTAAGCCTTACAGATACTCCCTAGTAGAACGGAAAACAGTCATTGAGCGGATTTGAGAATTCGAAGCGAATGGTTGGATCGAACCCGCCACTGGGCCATGGTCGTTCCCGGTAGTATTAGTACCAAAGAAGAACGGATCGATCCGCATATGCATTGATTATCGCAAGCCGAATGACATCACGATTAAGGATGTGTACCCCCTTCCCAGGATTGATGATTTGCTGGATGCGATTGGATGTGCTAATTATTTCAGTAAATTCGATATTCACCACGGTTTTAATCACATCCTGGTTAAGGAGGAGGATCGGTCGAAAACGGTCTTTGTATTATTTGAAGGCATATGGCAGTGGGTTCGATGTCTGATGGGGATTTGCAACGTGCCTGCCACATTTCAACAGCCTATGAACGTGACGTTCCAGAACTTCGTCAACAAGACACGGCTCACTCTGGGGATGATTAACTTCTGCGTCATCGTGTATATGGACGACATCCTCGTCTACTTGGAGACCTTTCATGGGCATGCACAACACATAGAATGAACATTGGGATCTTTGAGAGACGCTGGGTTCAAGATCGCGCTCGAGAAGAACGAGTTTTTCCTCTCGAAAATCTCGTTCTTCGGTTACATGGTGACACGTGGAGGACTGCGGCCAGATTCAAGGAAAGTCGTGGCGGTGAAAGATGCTCCTGTCCCCACGACAGTGACGCAGGTTCGAGCTTTCCTGGGACTGGCAACGTACTACCGCCGTTTTATCAAAGGCTTCGCTGCGACTGCGCGACCTCTAACGAATCTGCTACGAAAGGACCAACCCCTTAGTTGGGATGCAGAGTGCGAACAGGCCTTCGCCACCCTCAAAGGCGCTCTGGCGACAACACCTATTTTGATCCTGTCGGACCCTACGAAGCAGTTCATTCTCATCACGGATTGGCAGCCAGAGGCGATTTCCGTTATTTTAGCGCAGAAGGGAAACGACGACCGAGAGCAGGTCATCGAGTACGCGTCTCGTACGGTGCCAGACGAACGAAGGAACGATTCAGCCCCGCAAGGTGAATGCTATGCTGTAGTCTGGGGAATCTTGCACTTCCATCCGTACTTGTACGGACAGAAGTTCCTCCTTGTAACCGATCACGAGCCATTACTGGCTCTCAAGAAGCTCACTAATTACACGGGTATGATTGGATGGTGGGCTGTGCGCCTACAGGAATACGACTTCGACATCATCCATCGAAAGACGGAGAGGCACGGCAACGAGGACGGGTTGACACGTCTGCATTGCCCCGCCAAGGTACCTAAGGGTGAAGAAATCATTTCGTGGAAGGAGTCAGAGTCAGCCAACGGACCCAAGTACGGACAAGTGGCAGTCCTTCCACGAGGCAAGAAGCAGGCGATTGGCAATGAGTGACGGAGGTAATCCTACAACTCCTCTCTCTCCCCTCCCGTCTTCATCTTTTCTCTCCCTACCCGACAAATTTTGTTATTTTTGTGAAGCGATCTCGCGCGTCTACTCGATTTTAATGCGTCCTAGCGGGAGGGATATGCAAACTGGATAGATTGTCGACAGTGTGTCGCACGAGCTCATGGCTCGTGCATCCAGTACAGAAATGGCGATAAGCCTTGGTTGTGTCCCTTGTGTCGGACTGATAAGATCCCGATTGAGGCTCGATTTCTCGATGCCACGTCAGAAGGGTTGGAAAAAACCCGGAAGTTTAGAAGGGTCGAGGCATGGACGGATATCGCTCTAATAGCTACCTTGGTAGGAAACCCCCTCCAGGACTTCACTAAAGAAGACAGGAGAAGGGGCAAAGAAATGGCTCGGGACTATCGCTGGAACGAAGGACGATTGGAAAAACGGAAGACGGATGGTAACGGAATTTGGATGGTAGTACCACATCCGTTCATGAGGTACGACTGGGTTAAGAAGGCGTACGAGGAAACTGCAGCCCATTTTGCCGTACGGATCACGGAAGCGACAATCGACAAGAATGAGTGGTATTAACGATGTGAAATTCATTGTCGCGAATTGTCACATCTGCGCCGCTGACAAGGCGTTGATTCAGCCGCCAAGATCGATAGTACCGACGGTAGTTGAACGGCCTTTTCAAAGGGTTAGCATGGATACTACCGATATTGTGGTGCCCTCTGGACCTAATAGCTGCGAATATTCAATCCTACTGGTATTTGTAGACCATTTCTCGAAATGGATCGAGGAGTATCCGTGTCGTACACGACAGGCGGCTGAAATTGCGCGATACGTCAAACGGTTTCTAGGAATGCACTAGGACACTCAGGAAATCCTGACCGACAATGGGGTAGAATTCAGAGGGGAAGTTTTAACGAATCTGGTCGTACATGGCGTCGCCATTCGAATGTCACAATCTGACGGCCTAGTAGAAAACGCAAATCGAATGATAAAGACAGCGTTGCGACGAAACATCGTGGCACGGGATCCGAGGCCCTGGCCCGACATCGTAGATTACATCCTGGCGGTCCATCGAGGAATGCCTCACGAATCGACGGGCCTTAGCCCCTTCCAATTACGAACCAATAGCGTAGCTTGTGACTGGATACCGGGCCTCCCCGATGAATCGTCATTGAACCGACGGCCCACAAGAGTCACGGTTCAGGACACAACCAAGCGGCACATGGAGCTGATGGAACGGTCCCTTCCCTGATTCGCCCGAAAACGCCAGAAAATGACTGAGTTGGCCCACGGTCGACAGGTCCGTAGCTACGAGGCCCGAAATGGGAACGCAGGACCACGGCCCCAGTATAAATTAGGGGACCTGGTGCAGGTGAGGAAATGTGCTCGCCAAGGGAAGATAGCGCCACAATTCTTCGGGCGATTTCGTGTGATCGAGCTCGACCCGAACGGGGGGAACACCGTGCGCCTCATGCCGGAGGTCTTGGAAAGCTGATCGGCTCGACCGATCGTCCGCCACGTGTCCTATCTACGTCTTCTCCCTTCCTCTCCATCTCGAGTTGTGTCTGCTTCCTCCTTCGCTACAGAGGAGGACAACGACTCCCTATCCCTCTAATCCCCTCCTACATCTCTCGCCCCTTCTCATACCTCGTCCTCATCGCCATCGCCATGAGTTTTCTCACTGAGCGAGCTCTCGGCGATCAAATGTTGGCGCCACGTGGCGACATTTCGGCAATTCGGCAAGTCCATCACCCACGGTTCAGTCCGGATCTTTTACGACTCGCGCAGTTCTTCTCTACCACGAGAGTGTACGAGGCGGCAGAATTCCGATTTATGGGTCATCGTCAAGCGATCGCGTTGGCCGAAGCAACGGCGGTTCGACGGTTGTCAGCGTCGGGAATTAGCCACGTGTCTACCGTCGTCATCTTCAGTGGCGACATTAGCGCGATCAGCCCTCTACGACATACGACCATACATATGTCGCTAAGGAAGTGGGGCCAGAAGCTGGCCACGAAGTGGAATCAGTGGCTTACGGGCCACAACGACAATCTTGTCCCCACGGACGGCATCGAAGTCGGAGGGCTCCGAACGCCTCGGCACAAGCCGGCGGTGGTGCTTCCGGAGCTCATTCCCTTCCAGCGTCCTCAATGAACCGCTCCCAACTCTCTACCTTCGCTCTCCCATCTCTCTTCCCTACCTTCTGGCAGTCTGATCTTTGCCCTCGTCTCTCTTTTCGTCTGGAACCACTTACTGTCCCCCTCCTCGACCGAAGACGGTGGGTGGGAACTGTGGTGCGAGCATTTCGTCGAACTTTCGGTGTGTTTGGTCGGACTGCAGTTGACGTGGAGCTGCTGATCATCCAAGCTCGGAAAACGGAGGTGGAAGGAGACCTGCTCGGATTTCTATTCGGACCGGTGTGACCCGGCCATCAACAGCAAATCGTACAGGAACTCACGATTCCCCTCGTGTAGCTAGTCGACGATCTCCCTCTCGATATCGTTTCGCAGTGCGACGAGAGCCCGGTCCCGCACGTCCTTTCACGAACTCTGACACCCTACCTACAGTGGTCAGCTTGCCTCGAGGAGCTGGCAGGTAACAGCAACCCGCCATCGCAACGAGAGTACCTGGAGCCACAGAGGATAATCAACTTCGCCTTCTTTCAGCCTCGAACGGCCTCTGAAGACGAAGGGCTAGCGCTAGAAGAAGAAGAAGAAGAGGGCGTAGAGGAAGGCGACGAGGAAGAAGAAGAGGAAACCCCGGAAGAAGCCGGGAGCTACAGCGAATACAGTGAGGAGGAGTCGGGAGGTGACGAAGAAGAGGAAGAAGAAGAAGAAGAGGATCAGTTCGAGGAAGAGGAGGAATCTGAGTGGGAAACTTTGGGAGAAGAGGCGGATTGTGCAGAGACTCAAGAGGAGGATCCCGAGGCGGTGCGAAGGAGAGAGGAGATAGCAGCCGGGAAGCAGCCGCTGGAGTTCGCAAGCGGGGTGGATCTGTCGATCCCGAACGACCCATCAAAGCATCCCGAGCCGCCCAAGAACGACGATGGGGACCTTGCTGCCGAGACTTCGAGCGCACCGGCCCCACGGCGACGAAGTCGATCCCCCTCCCCCTCCACCTCCGCCCGTCCACCAGTTTGAGCTCGTACCGATGCGGGGCATCGGGCTTCGTCCCCTGTCCTTATCCTGTCGTCCCCTTGACCACCTCACCCTCCGCCATATCACTACCCGCATCACCTTCCCCTGCAATCCCTTCCCAATTGACACCTTCCGCTTCTTCTACGCCACTCGTCTTGCTGTCACGGTTCATCCCCATCCTTCTACCCGGTGTGCCACCCCTTTCTTCTGTCTCCACGCCCTTCTCTTCAGTGTCGCGTGGCGAGGCCACAACATCGTCGAGGTTTACTGCATGATCACGGGGACTATCCCCGCATGAGAGAACCACTATCACTTCCGCACGGCGCTTTTTCGAACTTTCACCACCCTTTACCCCGACTATCTCGCATCCCTTCCGCCTAGTGGTAATCGGTTCCCTCGCTTTCATCGGATCATCGTTATCAGGAGCTTCCGGAGACAGTCGCGGGATTGGAGCAATTCCTACCCCCGCTTCCGTCTAACCCACCCCCTCGTCATACCCCCATGTATTGTCTTCCCTTTCCTCTTCCCGTTGGTCATTGATGCAGTTTGATTAGCGCCTGCCACGACAATGGCACTAATAATCCCCTCCTTGGATTGAAGAGAGCCCTTCCTGAAAAAATTGTAGGATAGAGCCACGCGTGCCACACTGGATGACGTCTACACTATTGTCGAACGGTAAGTGGCAACGAAGAAGGCTCCGCGTGTCGATCAATTAGAGAGATCGACACGTGTCATGATTCAAGCAAGCGGGAGCTTGCTTAAGATTGGAACCCCCTGGGCGTCACATATGTGACGAACCAATTTCTGTTCCGCACGATTTTCTGCGCGATGACAATGAGGGGTCCTAAGATGGGAAGGTTGGGCCACTTACGGAAAATTGAGGGAAAATTGCATCGCTGTCCTCGCTTTTTTGTCTTTTTGCATCGCTTCTTTTCGGATGGCTGGGTTCAAGGCCGGGCAAGTCCCGAGATGGCCGATTGAGTGGTTGTCGCACCGACAGGGGCGCAATTAATATTGTTTGACGTCGCTTCTTTCCCGTTCTGCTGTCGGATTTTAGGCGCGGAGATCGCGCGGGAGTTTTTGCTTCGTTCTTTTCGGATTTTCTTTTTCGTTTTGAATCTTGTCGAGCCTGGACGGCTCTCGGAACTTCGGATTTTTTTTTTGGAATTTGTACTTTTTTTTGCATTAGCTAGGAATTTAGGAATTTGGGATTTCTTTTGCCGTGCAATGCCTTCTCCTTGCGCGCTTCTTTTTGCGGCTGCAACGGAGCTTTGATTAGTCGGCGCCCTTAATCTTGCAAGTAACTGTAATTTTGGATGGGCGCCATTGTAATTGTATCTTTCTTTTGAGCTTCGTCTTTCCCGCTCTCCCTTTCTCTTTTGTTGTGCCTAGTTAGCCCGCGGCCTGCATGCTCGGATCGATGCGTGGAGAGTGGCTATGTCCCCCACGCCGCGGTCTGGCCATGCAGAACGTGGGCGCTCCCTCTTCTAACCTCCCCTCTAAGTCTGTGCAATTCTGTGTTCTTCATGCATGCATGCACGCTATAAATTCCGGCTGCGCGATTAAATAACTCTCTTAACCAGCTGTTGGAAGCTCGGGGTAGCGCGATCAGTGAGGGTCGTCTCACGAGCGAAGTAAGAGGTGAGTTGAAGTGGGAGTCGGGCGACCTGACGAGCTGGTGCCAAATGCGCGGGGTTGACAAGTGGGGCTACGGCGGACTGTAGCGCACGGGCAAACCTAACGGGTGCAGGAGGACTAAGCGGGGTGACGACTTCGTGGGTTGGTGCGCGACGATGGATTGTTCGCATCGGAGAGAGAAAGACAGAGGAAGAGAGAGTTGAGGTTGATGAACGTGGATTTGCGATTTTCTTTGTCTTTTCCTTTCTTTTCGCCTTGTATATAAGTTTTAATTTCGACTCGAGCGATTCGCTCTTAAATCTTTTCGACATCTTTGCTTCAATATTGGTCCGTCTATAATGTCTCATTCTGTCTCGATCTTCCCTCTTTGCATGAATGGGATGGAATGATATGTTTGTCGTTTTTGCATAGTTATCATCCTTGCTTGTCACTTTGATCCGCTGATTGTTCTGATGTTGTTGCGACGTCTAATGTGTGATGACACCTTGCATGCTCCAAATGATTGTTGATTGATTAGATGATTGGGTAGTATCTGGGGCACGTGAAGACTTTTGCATGAAGAATTAAACTCTCAACTTTGTAGCCAATAGACCCGGGTGCATGCGAACACCTCGCGCGGATACACGTAAGCGCGATCTGAATTGCGCAGCCTGCATATATCCACACGCGGCGATCCACGTTCACTAACTATGCCGCAACGACCAAATGTCGGACATATGGGACCCAGAGTACTTTGAGGCCTGGGAAGAAGAGGAATATGGTAGGCGAAGGTACCCAGAATTTCCTTGCCTAACCGAGAACCGATTGTGTCCCAGGGAGTTCCACTGTGTTGTAACCAGTGATCCAAGGTGCCCCGATTTCCCCACTACAGATAACACACAATACTTCATATCCCCCGGCTTCGTTGTTATCGCCACCAATTTCCCTCCCTTCCGCCTCCTCCTTCCCTATCACCAACTCACAGTGGTTCCGTGGAATTCTATCGCCCCGTATTGGCCTCGCACGCCGTGCAGAAATTGCAGACGACGCGGCCACCACCGAACCCCTTAAACTTCGGAACCCAACCATAACGCGCAGCGACCGACGCCACGTGTCTACACCCGAAGGTCCGGTTCATAGGAATCACAACCATCCTGGACGGGTCTCTCCCCGAACCGCCGCCACCAAAACAGACGGATCGGACGGCCCTGAATGCACCGCGCATGCCATCTGCCTTATGTTGCACGACATCGACTACCATCAGACCGGAAGTAACCCGTCCCTTAGCCCTATTGCACCCATATCCCTGAACCCTTGCCACATGAGATCTCAGTTCTGACCTGGGACTTCACCCCCACTTTCCCAAAAATCCTTGGCACACCCCTTTTCGCACTTCCAGGCCCACATCCCACTCCGATCAGGAAATCGCTTCGGGCGTGAGGTTGGGCGTCACAGCTCTGCTCAGTGGAGGCAGCAGGGGGGTGAAGGGGAGGTGGGGGAAGAGGTGGGGAGGAGAGGGGAAGCTAAATCAACCCTAATCAATATTTTCTTTAACATCATCATCTGCGTTTTTACTAGTTTTTTTATTATTGACCTTTTCCAACTTTTTTCTCCTCTAGTCGCTATTCATTGTATACAAGCGAGATGGCAAGTGGGTAGTATGGGGGGAACTGATCTCTATAGGAGCATCACAAGGCGGGAGGTGATTGCTTTGTAAGGAGTAAAGGTAGAACGTGGGATGTACTAATCTGGAGTTGGATAACATCTAGCGGTGGCAGATTCGAACATCGGAAAGATCGGAGCATACTTTTGGGGGAATGGCATGCCTCGAGGTAAGCAAGGTTGTAAGTGGGTCTGCCACTGGTTGGGCCTGAAAAGGATTGCTCCTCATCATGATGGTTCATTCGGCGGAAGCAACAAGGGGTGGAAGGGAACAGGTAGGAGGAGAGGAGGATGTAACCTCTATCAACCAATCTTTATCATCGGAAAGTTTTTTCTGTTTATGATTTATTTGAAATCATATCATGGAATGCTAGGTGCCATTATTCACTTAGCAGTTTCTTGAATGTGCTGTGTTTTTGTAATTGCCCAGGTAGAGTTGATGCTAGAACGATGCTGGCCAGTGATGGGGCTTTGCCCTGTAACCTGCATGAGTAGGAGCTTGAGGCCTTGTAGAGAGATTTGGGAATTGCTGAGGGAGAAAGGCAATTTAGTAACTTCACGGATGGCTACAATTAAGACCGACAAGGATCGGAGCTGGGGCGGGTAGCGTTGCCCTGTAACACAACTAGATTGAGGGTGTGAGAACATGTGGAGGCTTGATTGGTACATGGCACAACTCTGTTGAAGGGATTGATAAGATCGCCTTAATTTAGGGATATGATAGAAATTGAGTCATGAGTAAAATGACCTTTTGGTTAATCTTCCTAGTTTATAATCTAGTAGTCCATAGCCTTTTAATTCATCATGAATCTTTCTGAACCAGCAAGAGTTCATCTTGAATCATCCTAAAATTATCATGAACCATTATTAAGCATTGTATTCCTATTTTAAGGGACGTTGGGCCCGGTTCCCAGCATATGCTGCTTCCCACGAATAAATCGGAGATTCGTTTGAAAAAAAAAAAAAAAAAAAAAAGGCTTGAGCACGGATATAACTGCTACGGGGTTCCCCGTAATACTATAATGACAATAAAAAATGTATGAAAGGTTGTCCTGTCCAGATTCGACAGGAGATTGAATTGTTGGGCTTAAACCACCACTACCTTTCCAAGTTGTAGTCCCATTTGGAAAAATGACCTCATCCGGAAAGTTTGCGAGTTCGGCATAGGGTCGGTAGGAAAGGAAAAAAAAGAAAAGATTGGGTTTCCGTGGACCCTCAATCAACAAAAAAATAAAAAAAATCACAACGTTGAATCCAGCGACGTTGAAAAGACCCTCACGGAAGTGGAAGTCACACCAGTGCTTTGAGGAATGTATTTGACTAGTATGTGAGAAACGTGATTTCTGATGTTCTCGCTTTTGTTTTCCTTTTTGTGCCCTACCAATGAGGTAGGGCGGTTTTCACGAGGGACACCTGGCTTCCTCACTCATGTCAAACTCACAACAGGAGTGTATCTTCTGTATCGGACCCCGATCACGGCATAAGGGAAGTTTGTTTTTCTTTTTTTTCTTCATTTGTTTTCATGGGGGAACTTATTTTTAAATGAAATTATTGTTATACTTAAAATAAATACAAAATCAATAAAATAGGCATAAAAAATAAATATAAATAAATGATATATATAATACAAATAATCTTATATAATAATAATAATAATATATATTATATTAATCATATTATATTAATAGTGATTATATATTCTTCTATATATCATATATAAATATATTATATGATTAATATGATAAAAATAAA